TGTCACCATCTGCCTTGACCATTAAGACTATATCAAGCAATGAGGCAAGAAACATTGCTTGACTTGGAGAGTACTTTCTATAACTGTCATTAATTATGGGACGGTTGTTAGCCAACTATATCCAAAAGGCTAAGAGGATTCAACAGTTGACACAGACAGGAAATTTAACAAAAGTTTATTGAGAACAAAATTATGCTAATCACCACTATAAATCCTACTCTAACACTGGCCAATAGTTAAGAAATTTAGACATGGAACAAAACCCTCAGAGATCACACTCTACCTTAAGACCTCTGTCTCTCCCCTCCGGTGGATTCACTCTTGTCACTCCCTGCTGTGCGATGTTCTCCACAGTCCTCTCTGGACCCCCCGGTGTCTGGCACTCTATCTCAACTAAGTCTCTACAGGAGGCTACCTTGAGGCTACCTTGAGGTGCTTCCGGGGCTTAGTGTCCCCGCGGCCCGGTCGTCGACCAGGCCTCCTGGTTGCTGGACTGATCAACCAGGCTGTTAGACGCGGCTGCTCGCAGCCTGACGTATGAGTCACAGCCTGGTTGATCAGGTATCCTTTGGAGGTGCTTATCCAGTTCTCTCTTGAACACTGTGAGGGGTTTGCCAGTTATGCCCCTTATGTGTAGTGGAAGCGTGTTGAACAGTCTCGGGCCTCTGATGTTGATAGAGTTCTCTCTCAGAGTACCAGTTGCACCTCTGCTTTTCAACGGGGGTATTCTGCACATCCTGCCATGTCTTCTGGTCTCATGTGATGTTATTTCTGTGTGCAGGTTTGGGACCTCTATATACAACCCCAACAGGGAAAGGGGGAGATTTGCTGTTGCTACCTACACCAAAAATGCAAGAGGGTCGGGCCACATGTGCACAAACACTTAAGAATTTTTCAATTAAGCTTGTTTGACATTCACCATACACTCTTCAAGAGAGGAGTTATTAATTACGTGTGTGACTGACCTCTGACCTGGGCTAAAAGAGGGTGAGATCCATGGATGTTTACACATAAGAATCTGGGGTCTAATTCCATTGCAATGTTTGACAAGAGTATCATGAAATATTACATACTTGAAACTAGCTGACTAAGACTAACCCAGGAATTTTTTAATCAACATACAAGATAATCCAGAGGTCATCTGGGCTGACCTCTTGGAGAAGGCTTCCCTGGGTGAGAACTCTAGGGGAAGGGGTCATGGGTGTTACAGCTCCCTTTCCCCAGAGTTAAGACAAAATCGGGTGTATGATAGTTAAGCCCAATTTTGTCTTATCCTAATTCATCCAAAATACCATAACTAACCCTAAAAGAAAAAAAAAGTGCCAGTGACATAATGAAAAAAGTAAGCTAACTAAATTAACACGGTGTAAAGTATATTATACAGTTACACTTCAGTAAGAACAACACATAAATATACAATGAAAGAAACAAAAGTACAAAAAAACATATTGGCAAACAAACAAGCAATGATATCCTTATACATGATACAATTCGAGCGAACCGCGCGCCCAAGATGAAACGGGTGTTGATAGCTTAGTATAAACAATCTCTCAGATCGTCGCACGAGATATACATGTACACATATGTGCACACAAGAGGCGGTCAGGTGCACATACAACTTTATCAACACTGAAATTCCTTATACGTATGAAAAGAATCTGAGGAAAATAATGAAAATAAAATACAATATACTTAACTATGAAGTCCCTTAACTAATTGTAAGACTACTCTCGTGATGATTAAAACTACGATTGTTCCTCGGTAATCCACAACTGGTAACTACGTCTGACCCGCCCTTAGGGCGGGTCAGATGTAGCTGACACGTACGTACGTACCTGTGAGGAGGGGCAGAAAGAGGACCACTCTAGAAAGAGAACGCAGACGACTGTACAGGAGAAGGATAAAAATAACGGAAATGCTTCAGCAGACACAACTATCACAAGCAAGGAAAATAAGCCTAAGCAGGGAGATCGAAGAAGTAGAACAAACGTTGAAGCGATCATATGAGTCTGAGGAAATGGAATTGGAACAGAAAGCTATACAAGAGATAAGGAAAAATCCGAAATATTTTTTCACATACGCCAAATCAAAATCCAAAACCTCGACCAGTATTGGACCGTTAATTACAAATGAAGGTACGTACACAGAGGACAACAAAGAGATTAGTGAAAGTCTAAGAAGCCAGTATGAGGCTATGTTTAGCACACCAATAAACACCATGAAAGTTGATGACCCAGACAGCTTCTTTATGAGGGACATTCAAGCTGCAGATAATATAACGGATATTACCACAAACTCGGAAGACTTTGAAAGAGAAATTGACAATATGCCTATGCACTCAGCTCCTGGGCCAGACTCATGGAATTCAATATTCATAAAGAAATGTAAAGTACCAGTAGCGAGAGCACGCAGCGTAATATGGAGAAAGAGCCTGGATACAGGGAAGATACCAGCAGCACTTAAATCTGCAGATATAGCTCCGTTGCACAATGGGGGGAGTAAAGCTTTGGCAAAAAATTATAGGCCAGTTGCACTAACATCACACATAATAAAAGTGTTTGAAAGAGTGATTAGGAATCAAATTTCTAGTTTTATGGAAAAGAATGAATTGCACAATCCAGGACAACATGGATTTAGAACGGGAAGATCCTGTCTGTCACAGTTACTCAACCACTATGACAAAATCACAGAAGCCCTAGAAGAAAAGCAAAATGCAGATGTTGTATACACAGACTTTGCAAAGGCGTTTGACAAATGTGACCATGGGGTGATAGCTCACAAAATGAGGTCAATGGGAATAACTGGAAAAGTGGGACGCTGGATACTCAATTTCCTGTCGAACAGAACACAAAGAGTAACAGTCAATCAAGTAAAATCGAGTCCAAGCGACGTTAAAAGCTCTGTACCTCAAGGTACAGTCCTTGCACCACTGCTGTTCCTTATTCTCATATCTGATATAGACAAAAATACACGTATTAGCTTCATGTCGTCCTTTGCAGATGACACAAAAATCAGCATGAAAATTTCCTCTGCTGAAGACATTGAAAAACTACAAGCAGATGTCAACAAAGTTTTCGATTGGGCAGCAGAAAATAACATGATGTTTAACAGTGATAAATTTCAGGTACTCAGGTACGGCAAAAATGAGGATCTGAAACATAATACAGGGTACCAAACACAATCGAATCTTCCCATAGTAGAAAAACAGCATGTAAAGGATTTGGGAATAATAATGTCCGACGATCTAACGTTTAGGGAGCATAACCAAGCAAATATTGTGACAGCCAGAAAAATGATAGGATGGATTATGAGAACTTTCAAATCCAGGGATCCCATCACAATGGTTGTACTCTTCAAGTCACTTGTGCTGTCCCGTCTCGAGTACTGCTCAGTACTCACTCACCCCTTCAGAGCAGGAGAGATTGCTGAAATAGAGGGAATACAGAGAACATATACGGCACGCATAGACGAGATAAAACACCTAAATTATTGGGATCGTCTCAAAGCTCTCCAAATGTACTCTCTAGAAAGGAGACGAGAGAGATATCAAATAATATACACATGGAAAATACTGGAGGGTCAGGTCCCAAATCTACACAGAAAAATAACAATGTACTGGAGTGAACGATATGGAAGAAAATGCAAGATTGAACCAGTGAAGAGCAGAGGTGCCATGGGCACAATCAGAGAGCACTGTATAAACATCAGAGGTCTGCGGTTGTTCAACGTCCTCCCAGCAACTATAAGAAATATTGCCGGAACAAACGTGGACATCTTCAAGAGGAAACTAGATTTATTCCTCCAAGGAGTGCCGGACCAACCAGGCTGTGGTGGGTATGTGGGCCTGCGGACCGCTCCAAGCAACAGCCTAGTGGACCAAACTCTCACAACTCAAGCCTGGCCTCGGGCCGGGCTTGGGGAGTAGAAGAACTCCCAGAACCCCATCAACCAGGTAACCAGGTAACCCTGTCACGCAGGGGCAGTACTCACTGGGCGCTTAGGGAAGGAAGCCCCTAAGCGCATCCAGCCCCGGTACTGACGAGGAACACCTGGCCACCGCACAACACAACACACGACAGTGAACGCCACACAAGGCAAACACCGCCTAGGAAACTGAAGCCAGAGAAGCGTCTATCCCGGTTGACATTAGCTTACTAACTGATGCTAGACAGCCGGCACGGTAAGGTCCGGGGCTCCCCCCTCCCCCTCTCGGGACAGGGAGGGCTGCACGGACGATCGGCGCGGCAGTAAAGTGTGATGTTTGCTTGTTTCCTTGGGATTATAGGGAGTTTCTACCTCTCTGTTCGGTTTTGTTTTAGTTTTTTACCATGTTGGGTTTGTTTTGTTATGCCTACCTTTCTAGGTGCCTAACCCCAGTCGAGTTTTGAATCCTACACTATACCTATGAGCGTTCTCAAGTGCTCTACACACCCCCGATCTAGTCCCTCAAGGCGCTTTGCTCAGTATAGTGGTACTGGACCACCAGAACCCCACCATTATAATGCCAAAACCTCCATCAAGAGAAGAGGGTTTTAGTGTTTTAATGCCAAAACCCAGTCAAGAGACCAGTATGGTTCAGGAGGAGAAAGCTGGCTGAGGTTAGGGGCTGAGCTGCCTGGTGGTGGTAATCAGTGATAATAAGTGTTGACCTAGTTTGTGTGACTTGCTTGTTCTGTATGTGTCGTTTGTGGAGTTCTTTGGTGTTTTCAAGGCTTTATTCTCTGTGAACCCTCCTGTTGTCAGTAAAGCTTTGCTAACTTTCTGGAGTTTTTTCGGTGAGGTGGCAAATTGTCAGTTGCTCTCTATGCCTCTATGAGGGAGGCAGGTTCTGGCTCTGGTTCTTAGTAGACCTCACAGAACTTACAAAACTGATGTGAACATTTAGTATGGAGAAATCTTGCCAAGATAGCTTCAGGTAACCATCAGGGTGCTCCCTGCAGAAAGAGGCGTTTCATTACATTCAGTGTTGTATTTATTGTAATGTGTTTTTCTTTTTACAGGTAAAAAGGGCAACACATGTGCACTAAATTATTTTAGATGTAAAAATGACATCAACTGTGTACTGATCAAACAGCTGTGTGATGGCTTTAGTGACTGCCCCGATGGTAGTGATGAAGGCAACTTTTGCAGTAAGTATTGTCATCATATTTGTTGAATGAAAGAGAACAGGTTGATTAATATAAAAACAATGGTTAAAGCAAAGAAAACAAAACCAGCGTTGAACGTAATGAAAGCCATTTTCTGGGTGAAACCTGGAGTCTCCCCGGAGTTATTCTGAGCTAATGTGTATATATTAGACCGTGGCAACAGTCAAGTGATGGCGTTATAAGCCTACCAGGGACCATGAGCCAGAACCTAGCCCCCTCGGATAGGCATGATGAGGAATGGCCCATAGACACCCGCAATGTGGTTGGAAGCAGTCTATGTCTGCCATCTACCAGGTTAGGCACCCAGAAAGGTAGGAATCCCAAAATAAACTGGTGAAAAATTGCTAACCAAAAGTTGAATGAGAAAGCAGAGCTCCCCAATTAGAAAACAAGCAAACAAGCATGCCGTCACTAGAGCCACGGCGATGGTGTCTGCTCAACTCCCCCCCCCCCCCCCCCAACTCCCTGCATGGGAGAAGGGAGGGACCCAGACCTCCCACGCTGGCAGCCCAACCCCAGTTCAGAGGTTGAATATAACAAACACGAAAAAAATGCTGACCAGAGGGAGGGGAGGGATGCCAGGGAGCCTCTGGGGTCCCGTCCAGAAAATGGCGTTTCACTACATTCATTGCTGGTTTTCTATGGAGAGCCCCTTCAGCTCCCCAGAGCTACCTAACCAAAGATAAAGTAAAAGAGGGACCTACCCGGAAGGCGGCTGCCACTCGCTTCTCAACTTGAATTTGAGACAACTGGCTGCAACCTGCAACCCAAGGCTACACATGCCCGAGAAGGGGCAGGAACATTAATGAGATACCGTGTGGTCAGGACTCTGTTCGTCCTCCAAAAGCCCCCATGCCCGAATGTCAGCCTATGACATATTACCAAAAACAGCAGTCAAAGCTGCGAACTTACGAATGTTGTGAGCACGGGGATAGAGCACAGGCTGGCTGGACTGAATAATCCTGCAGACAACCTGGAAGACCCACGCTCTGGAACAGGGAAGAAGGGAAACCGAGTCAATCCAAAGCGCATTCCCTGCCATGGAAGCCGTGGTGCGCAATTAACGGCAAAGAGCTGCAACCGGACACAAAACATGATGCACCCCCGATAGACTCATTTCTAGCCAGAAAAGAAGGAGACGGCTGCAAACGAACAAACTGACCACCAGGACCAAAAGAACAGAAACCCCTGCACCAGAGGAGAGCACGAAGCTCTCCAACCCGACGCCAGAGGCCAATGCCAACAAGAAAAGAGCCTTAGAAAAGCAGTCCTGAACTAAAGGGGCCACCACAAACTGAGAAGAGAGAAAAGTGAACACCCGGTCTAAAGACCAGGACGGCTCAGGCGGTGCATGAGTAGGCAGGAGGTGAAACAACGCCCGAGAAAGCTTGCGGAATGGAGCAGAAGTGACATCCACCCTGAACGCAAGCTGAAGCGACTGCCAGCGCCGCACAATATAAGGCAACAGTATGTGGCATAAGGTGAGTCCTGAAGAGAGAATGGACAAAACAACCCGATCAAAAATTGAAGACAACCTACGAAGAGACAAAAAGTGCTGAAAGGACTGCCAGAAGACTTCATACTGCCACCGAGATGAGACACACAGGTGGGACCCCATCAATATATGTCACCTGATCACCATACAAGTGGTGATGAATCCACATCAAAAAGACCAGATGCTAAAAGCGAAGGAGAAGATTGAACCAGCCACATACTGGACTGGACTGATCTGCTGAAAGAGGCAAAGCCATGGGAAGACCTTCAGGTTCGGACACTGAACAAGCAGCACCTTAACCCCTGCACTGCGCACCTGGTTTCGGCAAAAACTTCTTGGGGCAATTGTCAAGGACATATTCTTGTTGTTTTTATAAATATTCAGGTAAATTTAATGTCAAAATGTTTCCAAACTCAACTATTTTCATTTAAAAACACAAAGAGTAAAGAAAACATTAAAAAACATTAAAATATAGCCTAATTAAAAAAAAAAAAAACACCTCTCAGAGCGCCTAAAGGCGCTTTGCACAGTACAGGGATTAAACCAGGGCATGGCTGGCCACCAAGAGGCCAATAGGACTGCTTTACCTGGTAAGTCTCCAAGCGAGCCAGGACTTGGAGCAACAGAACCGGTGGGAAGAGGTAAGGGTAATCCAACCTCAACCAGTCCAGTCGAAAGGTATCGACCTCAACTGCCTCACAGTCGAGGAAGAGTGCCACATACACTGGGAGACGCCTCAACCACACCAACACGAAGAGGTCCACCTTTGCTCTTCCATACATCTGGCAGAGCCAACTGAATGAGTCGGCATTGATTGTCCATTCCTTGGAAAGGGTAATGAACCAGGACAGGCTGTCCTCCAGGACGTTGGACACCCCCCCTGAACGGGAACCTCCAGAACCAAACCCCCGAGAACTCAGCAGACGAGTCACCCGAAGTGACCAGCCCCAAAGAGCCAAGGACCACATCGAACCCCCACAGTTCAGGCAATGAACCATTGGGGAATATCCCGAATGGAGTTGAATCGTTGCTCCTCGAGCAACTCGAACCCTCAGAAGCGAATACCACACCGCTGCGAACTTTTGCACTGTGCTGTGGGCCCGACTGATAGACGGACCCCACCACCCCTGGCTGGACTGGTGAGCACTGGTCACAAAACCCCAGCCTAGAGACGATGCATCCATGAGCACATCGAGTGAGGGCTTGGATAGGCACCACAGCACCGAACCCCAAAAAAACCCATAGAGGAAGCCAGTGACGCAGCAGCCGATTCAAGGGCTCCCGGGGACCTAACACAGTGATCGTGAGAGCAGCAGAAGGGACGTCCCCGAAGGAACCAGAACGCCACTGAAGCCAGATCCGACCAGACGGGTAGACCAGCATGGCGAAGTTCAGACTCCCTCATAGCTGTTCGAACAACTGACGAGTGACTCCAAGTGCTCCAGGACTGCAGCTGCCGGAGAGAGACAAGGAAGCGGGCAGAGAGTCCCACACAAGACCCAGCCAAATCCGAACCTGAGAGGGAACCAAATGGGACTTCCTCCAGTTCACCAAGAACCTGAACCTGGCTCGCTGGGAAAGAACTACTGTAAATCCCTGGCAAGCAAACATGTGACCTGGCTGAAAGCCCCGACCAATTAGTTGTTAAGGTAAGCCAAAACCCGAACGAAAGTGGTAAGCTTGCCACCCCACGACAAAACAGAGCCAGTCCCTGAACCCGGGATGAGTTGTAACGTGCCAAATATGCATTGGCGGAGGTCCAGGGACACAATCCAAGTTCCCAAGTGCAAAATCAGCCAGACATGGGATAGAGTAGTCATCCGAAAGGAGGGGCAAACGACCCAGGGGTTCAGATGGGACAAGTTTAGAATAAACCTCAGGTCATCACAGTCCATTTCAGAACTGAAGACAGGCGGGAAACCCACCCAATGGATACTTTCGTTTTGATCACGCCCAAATGTACTCACTCCAGGATGATCTGACAGAGCTCAGGGAAATAGGCCTGCCCCGCCAGCCCCGAATCCCCCGAAAGAGGAGGTTCAGGGGCCACCCAACACCATCACAGGAGGAAACGACCCAAAATGTCCACAAATTGTGGGACCAGGCGTGAACAAACTGCGCAAGCCTCACCCCATTGCCCTGTCAACGGGACAAACCTCAAAAGGGCTGACGACCCTTATGAGAACCTGACCGATGCTCAGAGCAAGCACTGCATTGACCAAACGATGACGGCTCTGCAGGAGGGGCCGGACCCGAATCTGGCACTGCTGGCTTATAACGACCGAAGGAACCTCGAGCCTTGGCACGACCCTTCCAGGCTGGACCCCAAAGGTCCCTCCAGAGAACCAACAAGTCCAAGGCTGGCAACTAGATGAAGCCACCTGCAGAAAATGCACCACCACAGACTGCAAAAATCAACGGACAAAATGGAAACGAAAATCTAAGATCCAGGACCCAAGCAGATTCCAAAGAGTGGAAGAGCACGGCCTGTCGGCATGTGAGATGAGAATAAAAAAACAGAGACACCACTTACTTCAGAAATGACGCATACACCACAAGGCAGCCGATGCCAGAGCTGCCAAGGCAAATGCACCAGACACCGGTCTGTAACCCAGCTCCTCCACATCCTCCTCATCCTCCTCGAGCCAGTCCAAAGACAGCTCCAGCAGGGAAAAGAAGCGCAAAACCGAAGCCAAATGCCCACGGGCATGCAAATCCTTGGCCACCAGGGACACTGAAAGGGAGGGAACCTGCACATGAAGCTGCACCTGGCCGATATCGCGAGGAAGCACAGGGGCGAACAAGCATGCATTAAGGTGCTCAAACTTGCCCCCCAGGTAAACCTGAACAACTGTAGTCAACTCCCGCCATTCAAGCGTGCGGGTCCGAGAAAACACATGCCACGCCCTCAACGAAAAAAAAGGGCAGTCCGCCAGCCAGGAAGACTCTGGTACCATGTAATGCACCAAGTAAGGAAAAGAGGAGCCAAACTCAAAAGATGAAGGATCCATTATCGTGGTGTAATCCAGGTCTCGCAGGAGGTAAGCTGCAAGGGCCTCTTGCACCTCCAGCGGTGGGATGCGGGAAGCCGAAAACCTCCAGAAGGAGGGAACCGAAGAACCCAAGGGAACCCGGAACCAATCTGGGGAAGGAGTCGAACCCATATCAAACTCGTACAGGGAGGGAGGACAGGAAAACTCCTCCCTCTGTAAGAATAAGCCCCGTGTTTAGGGTACCAACACCCAAGTGGGGTCAAACACAGCCCAACCCCTACCCAACCCCTACCAAATCAACTCCTCCCCAGCCCTGAGATCCCCCCATGTCAGGACCTGGGGCCGAGCCATCCTCCAAACCCTCTTCCACTGGAGAAAGGACAGAGTCGACTGGAAAACTGGGATGAAGTGGGTCTGCTGGCGTAACCCGAAAACCCAGGCCGGAGGAACAGGCTCGAATGCCTCCGCCACCGATTCGGAAGGGGCAGTTTCCGAAGCCGCCCGAGTCTCGCCACCATGAAAATCCTGCCCCGACTCCGAAACCCTCTGACGTTTGGGACCCGGGAGCAGGGGAATCGAGGGGCGGAGCAGGATGAACCACAGTAGGGAAGGACAAGGGGGCGTGGTTGAAACCAAAGTTGAGGTGACTAACACCCCGAAGTCCGGGTCCCTATAATCCTAATGGGGCAGCTGTGGGGCATTTAAAAAGGCAACCAACCGTGCGCGTTGCAGCAACCTTGCATGCAACACGGAAGCTGCCTGCACCTGAATATCAATAACAGTGGACTGGGTGAACTGGAGTACATGCAAGGAACACCACTCGCAAGACTCCGGGTCAAGGGTGTCATTGACCCAACAGGTAGCATGGAGGAGGCAAAGATGATGAATGTCACCCTGAGACAAGGGGGACAGAGCAACCTTCAAACTCGCATGAAAGGAGGTGGTACTCAGAGATCTCCCCCATTAGACCAATGAGCTCCATTGGGGGTTTCCAGGACCCTTAGGCTGACTGTTAAGGGAAGCTCAGGCAAGGTACTGCTAACTGGTTATCCTAGAGCTACTAAGCAAATAAACTAAAAGCTGAACCCTTGCGACGTGTACAATCACGGGGGCCAAGAGGAGGGCCACCAAAAAATACAAGTGGACCTATAGTCACACAAGACAGACCCCCACCAGGCAAACAAAACAAAAAAGAAAAGAAAACTCCGCAAAAGCACAACATCCCCAGGGGAACAACAGAACTGGAACAGAACACAGAACCAGAACTGGAACAGAACCAGATGCTATGCTTATATCAGATAGCTGCACAGTACCTTGCTCCCCAGTCAGCGACAATACTACCTCCTACCCAAGGTCAAACAGAGGCATGAACAACCCCAGCTGAACCCAAGGGCGGGCAATCACTGAGCAGCAAAAGAATCCTGCGAAGGTAGTTCCCGACCAGCTTATGAAAGATAATCCTAAACCGCAAGGGCAGTACTTACAGGATACCTAGGGAAGGGGACCCTAGGCACATGCTGCCACAGTACTTCTGGAATTACACCTGGCTCGCACACCACTAGACCACAGCACAACACCACAAGCCACAGCACTGCTCAAGGATTGGAGCCAGAGTCGATCAACTGCCACCCAACACAACAGCCCCAGAACTGAGATTGGGTAGCCAGCACAGGAGGACCTCCCCCCACCCTTCCCCTTCCTAGGGAGGGGGGGGAATTGTGCAGACAGCAGCACGGCGGCCGTGGTGACGTCATGCTTGTTTGTTTATTTTCTGATTGGGGGAGTTCTGCTTGCTCATTCAGCTTTTAAGGTTAGCAATTTTTCACCAGCTGTAGTTTGTTTTGGGATTCCTACCCTTCTGTGTTCCTGACCTGGTAGATGGCAGACATAGACCACTTCCAGCTACATAGGGGTGTCTATAGGCCATTGCTCCTCGTGCCTCTCTGAGGGGGCCAGGTTCTGGCTCGTGGTCCTCGGTAGGCATAGAACTCCATCGCCTGACTGTTGCCACAGTCTAATATATACACATCAGCCCGGTATAGCACCAGGGAGCCGAAGGGACTGTCCACAGAAAGAGTTGTCCTAGGTAGAAATGAATCTGGAAAAATGTTGAGTGGAATACTGAATGTTGAGGCAACCACAGTGTCATAATCATCTATGGCATAGATGAGAATACTACAAACCACTTTATAAAATATATAAAATTACATACAATATTTTCTTTTTCCTTTTGATATAATTACTAAATTAAAATTTATATTTACAGATGAAACTGCACAGTGTCAATCACGGAGATGTGAGCACAAATGTAGACCCACAGACAAAGGGCCACAGTGCTTTTGTCCTGAAGGCCAGCAACCCAATGACACTTCCTGTGTTGGTAATTATCTCTTGCATTTATTAGATATCCTTGGTAGGGATACCTTGCAGTTGTTTAGTATCTTTAGTAGATATACCTTGCAATATTGTTTAGAAGCCTTGGTATGGATACCTTGCAGTTGTTTAGTATCTTTAGTAGATATACCTTGCAATATTGTTTAGAAGCCTTGGTATGGATACCTTGCAGTTGTTTAGTATCTTTAGTAGATATACCTTGCAATATTGTTTAGAAGCCTTGGTATGGATACCTTGCACTTGTTTAGTATCCTTAGTAGATATACCTTGCATTATTGTCTAGAAGCCTTGGTATGGATACCTTGCAGCATTTAGTATCCTTGGTAGGGATATCGTGCAGCATTTAGTATTCTTGGTATGGATACCGTGCAGCATTTAGTATTCTTGGTTGGGATACCTTGAAGTGTTGATTAGTATCCTTGTTAGGGACACCTTACAGCATTGTTCAGTATTTGATATAATATAAGTTTTTGCTCTACATCCAGCTTTGAACAAAGTTTTTACAAAGGAAGCATGGTACAAATCTACACATTAACATAGGCAATGCTTTGAAGTGATTAGTTGTATCCTTTCAATATTTCTTATTTGCAGACTCCAATGAATGTGAGGTGGAGGGCTCGTGTGACCAGTCATGCACTAACCTGGTGAATAATTATACCTGTAGCTGCTCAGAAGGCTACGACTTGGTAGGAAAGTCTACCTGCAGAGCAATAAACGGTAAGTGCATTACAGTATATTATCGTCAAAGAATTCATTTCATTACTCTTCTTCGTGTGTGAAGGACACACACTATGGCATGTGTGTGTAATTACCTAAGTAATTACCTAAGTGTAGTTACAGGATGAGAGCTACGCTCGTGGTGTCCCGTCTTCCCAGCACTCTTTGTCATATAACGCTTTGAAACTACTGACGGTCTTGGCCTCCACCACCTTCTCACCTAATTTGTTCCAACCGTCTACCACTCTGTTTGCGAAAGTGAATTTTCTTATATTTCTTCGGCATCTGTGTTTAATTAGTTTAAATCTATGACCTCTTGTTCTTGAAGTGCCAGGTCTCAGGAAATCTTCCCTATCAATTTTATCAATTCCTGTTACTATTTTGTACATAGTGAGCATATCACCTCTTTTTCATCTGTCTTCTAGTTTTGGCATATTTAATGCCTCTAACCTCTCCTCGTAGCTCTTGTCCTTCAGTTCTGGGAGCCACTTAGTGGCATGTCTTTGCACCTTTTCCAGTTTGTTGATGTGCTTCTTAAGATATGGGCACCATACAACTGCTGCATATTCTAGCTTTGGCCTAACAAAAGTCGTGAAGAATTTCTTTAGTATATCGCCATCCATGTATTTAAAAGCATTTCTGAAGTTAGAAAGCGTGGATTAAGCTCCTCGCACAACGTTCTTTATGTGGTCCTCAGATGATAGTTTTCTATCTAGAACCCACCCCCAGATTTCTTTCTTTGTCAGAAGTCTTTAAAGATTTTCCACATAATTTATTGGTTGTGTGGGGGTCTATGTTCTCCTATTGCACATTCCATAACACGGCATTTATTTACATTAAAATCCATTTGTCAGGTGGTGCTCTATATACTTATTTTGTCCAGGTCTTCTTGAAAGGCATTACAATCTTCTAAGTTACTTATCCTTCCTATTATCTTAGAATCATCACCAAACATGTTCATATAATTCTGTATACCAACTGGTAGATCATTTATGTATACAATGAACATCACCGGTGCATGAATTGAACCCCGTGGTACTCCACTTGTGACATTTCTCCAGTCCGATACACTTCCTCTTATTATTGCCCTTATTTTTCTACCAGTCAGAACGTTTTTCATCCATGTTAGACGCTTATCTGTCACCCCTCCAATATTTTCCAGTTTTCAGAACAACCTGTGTGTGTGTGTGTGTGTGTGTGTGTGACGGACACCATCCTCCTCCATGTGTGTGTGTGTGTGTGTGTGTCGGACTCAAAGAACTATCCCATATTTACCTATTTGCTTCTCTTGTTTCCAGATCTGGTCATGTGCCTCCTCATTAGGAATTGGTTATACAATTTCATCCTCCAGCCTCGACCATGCCTTCCTTACTCCTGATCCAACCATTTGCCTTATCCCTGACATAATATATTCCTTCTCTTAATACATAGTTGCTCACTTTTAGAATACATAAACATGTGAACAAAAAGAATATACTGTATTAATTTAGTTAAGATATGACTTTGGAACAAGCACCCATATATTAGATATTAATATAGTTGCTTCATTGTATATTATTTATTAATATAGTTGCTAAAATTTTCTTTTAATATGCTTTAGATCCTCCTGGCCAACCAGCATCTCTTCTATATACAAGCAACTCAGGACTGGCACACCTCTTCCTGAACGGCACAGCTCTGCCAGGAAATTCACATTTCAGTTCACATCATGCCATTTCTTTTGACTTCAATCATCGCAACAATTCAGGTGAGTTGTAGAATATATACTATTCTCTTAAATTTGCTTCATCTCTTGCCAATTATGTTTTCAAATTACATGGCAATTTTGTAGTGACTATTTTTCTTCAACATTTTGGTGGCCTTTTGAACAAAGCTCAGCCTTTGCTGAGCTTTGCCAAAAAGCTTTGTCACTCCCTCCTGAGTGCAACAATGCCGCAGGCGAGAGAAACAAGGAAGTGGTCTGAGAGTCCTACACAAGACCCAGCCAAGTCTAAACCCAAGAGGGAAGCAAATGGGACTTCCTCCAGTTCACAAAGAACCCTAAACCGACGAGCTGGGAGCCCACACCAGATAAGTTCCAGCTCATGCACTACAGAAAAAATGAAAATATAAAAACAGAAACCACATACAAAATGCAGTCAAATCATAACATAGAACGAAAGACAATGTATTTGCACATTTGCAGCCTTTCTCCGTCCTGGCGGCGGTCGAGACGGCTGTTTTCCGGAGGGGTTCTTGGGTTATTGATGCTTGATTGGTTCGGCCGGGGGTGCATCCTTTGTTGTCCGGTTACGCTTTTTTGCCGTTACCTGTGTATCGTGTCTTGGGATGCGCTTTGGGTTGATCCGGTTCCCCTCGTTCCCTGTTTCAGGGCTCGGGTCTCCCAGGTCATCCGCAGAGATTTTATGTCATCCAGCCTGCAGTCTATCCTTGCGCCCGTTCTGTTCGGACATTTGCAGCTTTCGCTGCTGTGTTGGTGACGTCTAGGGCTCATTTCGGGCGCAAGGATTTGAGGGTCGCACAGGTTCCTGGCCGCTCGTTCATTATGCGCATGTCTGCTCCTGTGCTTTCTTGTTGCCTTGGGTCGCAGGTTGCAGCCTGTAATTACCTAAGTGTAATTACCTAAGTGTAGTTACAGGATGAGAGCTACGCTCGTGGTGTCCCGTCTTCCCAGCACTCTTTGTCATATAACGCTTTGAAACTACTGACGGTCTTGGCCTCCACCACTTTCTCACTTAACTTGTTCCAACCGTCTACCACTCTATTTGCGAAGGTGAATTTTCTTATATTTCTTCGGCATCTGTGTTTAGCTAGTTTAAATCTATGACCTCTTGTTCTTGAAATTCCAGGTCTCAGGAAGTCTTCCCTGTCGATTTTATCAATTCCTGTAACTATTTTGTATGTAGTGATCATATCACCTCTTTTTCTTCTGTCTTCTAGTTTTGGCATATTTAATGCTTCTAACCTCTCCTCGTAGCTCTTGCCCTTCAGTTCTGGGAGCCACTTAGTAGCATGTCTTTGCACCTTTTCCAGTTTGTTGATGTGCTTCTTAAGATATGGGCACCACACAACAGCTGCATATTCTAGCTTTGGCCTAACAAAAGTCATGAACAATTTCTTTAGTATATCGCCATCCATGTATTTAAATGCAATTCTGAAGTTAGAAAGCATAGCATAGGCTCCTTGCACAATATTCTTTATGTGGTCCTCAGGTGATAGTTTTCTATCTAGAACCACTCCTAGATCTCTTTCTTTATCAGAATTCTTTAAAGATTTCTCACATAATATATAAGTTGTGTGGGGTCTATGTTCTCCTATTCCACATTCCATAACATGACATTTATTAACATTAAATTCCATTTGCCAAGTGGTGCTCCATATACTTATTTTGTCCAGGTCTTCTTGAAGGGCATGACAGTCATCTAAATTTCTTATCCTTCCTATTATCTTAGCATCATCAGCAAACATGTTCATATAATTCTGTATACCAACTGGTAGATCATTTATGTACACAATAAACATCACTGGTGCAAGAACTGAACCCTGTGGTACTCCACTTGTGACATTTCTCCATTCTGATACATTGCCTCTGATTACTGCCCTCATTTTTCTATCAGTCAGAAAATTTTTCATCCATGATAGAAGCTTACCTGTCACCCCTCCAATATTTTCCAGTTTCCAGAACAACCTCTTATGTGGAACTCTGTCGAAAGCCTTTTTTAGGTCCAGATAGATGCAGTCAACCCAACCATCTCTTTCCTGTAATATCTCTGTGGCTCGATCATAGAAACTGAGTAAATTCGATACACAGGATCTTCCAGATCGAAAACCATACTGTCTGTCTGATATTATATCATTTCTCTCTAGGTGTTCTACCCATTTAGTTTTGATTAGTTTTTCCAATACTTTCACTATTACACTTGTCAATGATACAGGTCTATAATTGAGGGGGTCTTCCCTGCTGCCACTTTTGTAGATTGGAACTATGTTAGCCTGTTTCCACCCGTCTGCTACGATTCCTGTACACAGGGATGCCTGAAAGATCAGGTGAAGTGGAATGCTGAGCTCAGATGCACATTCTCTCAGAACCCATGGTGAAACGCCATCTGGGCCAGCTGCTTTGTTCTTACCGAGCTCCTTGAGCATTTTTTCCACTTCGTCTCTAGACACCTCTATGTGTTCTATGTTGTTCTCTGGAATTCTTATTGTATCTGGTTCCCTAAAGATTTCATTTTGTACAAACACACTTTGGAACTTTTCGTTTAGTGTTTCACACATTTCCTTTTCATCTTCCGTGAATCTATTTCCCATTTTCAACCTCTGAATATTATCCTTTACCTGCAATTTGTTGTTTATGAATTTATAGAATAGACCTGGTTCTGTTTTACATTTGTCCGCAATCCCTTTTTCAAAATTTCTTTCTGCCTCTCTCCTCACTGCCGTGTAGTTGTTTCTCGCATCTTTGTATCGCTGGTATGTTTGGGGGTTCGGCCTCTTCCTGTATTGATTCCATTTTTGTGTCTTTCGGTCTCTAGCCTTCTCGCAATTTCTATTGAACCAATCCTGTTTCCTAGTTCTGCATCTCTGTTTTGGTATAAATTTTTTTGTGCCTTTATCATATATTTCACAAAACTTGCCATACATCTCATTCACTTCCTTGCCTAGCATCAAGTCTGTTGTCTCGGCATCGCGTTGCGGAGTTTGTGGTGGCCGCGTCCCGGGTCAGCCCTTTATTTTCCTTCTCTTTGGGTATGAAGCTCTAGGGAGCCATAGGGGCTCCCCGCAGAAAATCAATTTTGAATGTAATGAAACGCCATTTTCTGGGTGAGCCCCGGAGGCTTCCTGGCAACCCTCTCTCCTACCAGTCGGCGTTTTTTTCACGTTGGTTGAAGCTTAGCTTCCGAACTGATGCTAGGCAGCCGGCGTGGTGAGGTCCGGGGCTCCCCCTCCCCCTCTTGGGGCAGGGAGGGTTGCATGGACAATCGGCACGGCAGTAAAGTGTGATGTTTGCTTGTTTCCTTGGGATTGTAGGGAGTTTCTACCTCTCTGTTCGGTTTTTTGTTTTAGTTTTTTACCATGTGGGGTTTGTTTTGTTATGCCTACCTTTCTGGGTGCCTAACCCCGGTCGATGGCAGATAAGGAAAACTCCAACCACAAGGGGTTTTTCCAGGGCCATTGCTCCCTGAAACCTCTCTGAAGGGGCCAGGTTCTGGCGCTGGTCCCTGGTAGGTCTGAACTCCTTAGCTAATGTCCCAGTCTAATATAACATACATTAGCCCGATAAGCTCCAGGGAGCCTCCGGGGCTCACCCAGAAAATGGCGTTTCATTACATTCAACGCTGGTTTTTTCCAAGGCTCTATTTCTGTTGGCATAGGCCTCTGGGGGTCAGGTTGGTGAGTTTCATGCACTCCTCTGGTGCAGGGGTTTCTGCTCCTTTGGTCCTGGTAGTCAGTTTGTTTGGTTGCAGCTTTGACCTTCTTTTCTGGAGATAAAAGAAACAGCTGCTTTCCGGAAAGGACCTCAGGTCATTGATGCTTCGATGGTCAGGCCGGGAGTGCATCATGTGTTGTGCCCGGGTGAAGCTCTTAGCCGTTGCCTGCATGCCTCGGCTTGTGTGGCCGGGGATTCACTTTATGTGGATCCAGTTCCCTCGTTCCTTGTTTCAAGGCTCAGGTGCCTTGAAATCCCTACGCCCGGACTGCTCTTCGGGCGTAGGGATTTTGGGGGTCGAACAGGGTCCTGGCCGCCCATTCATTGGTCGACATTCCTGGTCCTAGGCGTCAGTGTGTGTGGCTTTGGGTCGCAATTTGCAGCCAGTTGTCTCATCTTCGAGTTAAGGAGAGTGTGGCGCCGCCTCCCAGGTATGGCCCTCTTTTCCTTATCTTTGGTTATGTAGTTCCAGGGAGACGAAGGGGGCTCCCCACAGAAAAGAAAACCAGCATTGGATGTAATTAAATGCAATTTTCTGGGTGAGCCCTGGAGGCTCCCTCCCTCCCTCTCTCTCTCTCCATTCGGTGGTTTTTGCATTGTTTTGATGCTTAGCCTCTGAACTGGGGTTTCTGTGTAGCCAGCGGGGAGGGTCCGAAAGGGAGGGGGGAACTGTGTGCACAAGTGATGCGATGGCGTGGTGTGATATGTTTGCTTGTTTACTTGTTTCTTGTCAATCGAGGGAGTTCTACCTCTGTTCACTTTTCGTTTACATTTTTCTTACCTTGTTTGGTCTGTTTTGTTACGTCGACCTTTCTGGGTGCCTAACCCCAGTCGATTGCAGATGAGGTAAACCCCCAACCACAGGGAGGTTTTCTAGGGCCATTGCTCTCTGCACCTCTCTGAGGGGGCCAGGTTCTGGCTTGTGGTCCCTGGTAGGCAAAACTCCATTCACTGAAGCCCTGGTCTAATGTATCGCATATTAGCCAGATAACTCCAGGGAGCCTCCGGAGCTCACTCGGAAAATGGCGTTTCATTACACTCAACATTGGTTTTTTATACTGCTATATTTTGTTGAATTATATTTAACATTGCAACATATTGTAATTATTAAATAATTAGTTTTTCTTAGCTATTCTGTATTAAAGATGTGTATAATCAATCCATTTTCAAAACTTCATTTATAAATTTTTATACACTTTTCACTGAGTTTGTTTACACAAAATTACAGTACATTAATATTTTGTTGATTCATAGTGTGTTGGGTAAGTTCCAATTCATCGTGGTCCGTCTTCAAGTGTGCTTCTACCGACAACTTGGAGGAATCATGGGCAATACCGCAGCCCTCTCAGAATGGTCTCAATTGTGAGTACTAATGTCTCTTGCCTACAATTTTTAATAATAAATTTAATAAATAACCCAACCTTCACATTGGAAAAGACATTGAATGCGTTGACATTTCGGTTCGTCCTGGACCCGTAATATGTCATGACATGATTTGATAGGAAAATAAAAGTGATGACAGTTTGGTATGTCCTGGACCCTTATCATGTTTTGATGTACCTGAGTTTACCCGAGAGCCACTAACACTAGTGGCCTCAATGAGGACAGGAAGTTGGCAGCTTGTTGAAGGTCCTAACCCCCCCCCCCCCTCCCCCACCCCCATTTGTCTTGATGATCATTTCCCTCACAGAAATGATCATCAGGTAAATTGTAAATGCCAGCCTACTGTAGGGTGTATAGACCTAGTCTGTGTCCATACAGTAGGCACCCAGTGCCCTCAGCTTTGTCTGTGATTGATGTATTTATCTGCCAGTGGAAGAATAATCAAGAAATTTGCCATTTTTTGACTACAGCTGTATTGTTATACAACAAAATGTCTCAGGGGCTTACTAATAGTGCCTTATTAATGCCAAACATGAAGCAATATTTTGCAAGAACTAGTAGCAGAAAATCAACCAGCACGAGCACAGCCGTACCCAGCACAAGCACAGCCGTACCCAGCACGAGCACAGCCGTACCCAGCACGAGCACAGCCGTCACAGCCATACCCAGCACGAGCACAGCCGTCACAGCCATACCCAGCATGAGCACAGCCGTCACAGCCATACCCAGCACGAGCACAGCCGTACCCAGCACGAGCACAGCCGTCACAGCCATACCCAGCACGAGCACAGCCGTCACAGCCATACCCAGCACGAGCACAGCCGTCACAGCCATACCCAGCAGGAGCACAGCCGTACCCAGCACCGGTACAACAACAGCCAGCACCAGCTCAAAAGCAGCTGAAGCAAACACAGCAGCAGCAAGCACCAGCAAAGCTAATGCAAACATCTAAGAACATCGTGTGTGGAGTGTACAGTTAGAATAAGTGTTAAATTTAACTACATAGTGTTAAAATTAAGAATGCAGTACAGAAATGTTAGTGTAAAATAGTTTTCATAAACTGTATTGTAATACTCAACATACAGCAGAACTACTTATCAATACAGTGCTAACAGCATAATACAGTACAGTACGTATATACTGTACAGCATTCACAACGCCATGAGAATTCAAGATGGACATAACTCCAACAATAAGATAAATAACAACTGTAACACAGTATTTTTTAGTAGAGTAATAATATATAGGTACAGTATATAATATGGTAATGCATTTTTATTATTTACAAGGAAAAAAAGACTGCCGCAAATGTCTCTTGAATGTCACCTCTTGCAACGAATCCAATGCTATGGATTATATATATATATATATATATATATATATATATATATATATATATATATATATATATATATATATATATATATATATATGTCGTACCTAATAGCCAGAACGCACTTCTCAGCCTACTATTCAAGGCCCGATTTGCCTAATAAGCCAAGTTTTCATGAATTAATGTTTTTTCGTCTACCTAACCTACCTAACCTAACCTAACCTAGCTTTTTTTGGCTACCTAACCTAACCTTACTTATAAATATAGGTTAGGTTAGGTTAGGTAGGGTTGGTTAGGTTCTGTCATATATCTACGTTAATTTTAACTCCAATAAAAAAAAATTTACCTCATACATAATGAAATGGGTAGCTTTATCATTTCATAAGAAAAAAATTATAGTAAATATATTAATTCAGGGAAACTTGGCTTATTAGGCAAATCGGGCCTTGAATAGTAGGCTGAGAAGTGAGTTCTGGCTACTAGGTACGACATATATATATATATATATATATATATATATATATATATGTCGTACCTAGTAGCCAGAACGCACTTCTCAGCCTACTATTCAAGGCCCGATTTGCCTAATAAGCCAAGTTTTCATGAATTAATGTTTTTTCGTCTACCTAACCTACCTAACCTAACCAAACCTAGCTTTTTTTGGCTACCTAACCTAACCTTACCTATAAATATAGGTTAGGTTAGGTTAGGTAGGGTTGGTTAGGTTCGGTCATATATCTACGTTAATTTTAACTCCAATAAAAAAAAATTGACCTCATACATAGAGAAAAGGGTTGCTTTATCATTTCATAAGAAAAAAATTATAGTAAATATATTAATTCAGGAAAACTTGGCTTATTAGGCAAATCGGGCCTTGAATAATAGGCTGAAAAGTGAGTTCTGGCTACTAGGTACGACATATATATATATATATATATATATATATATATATATATATATGTCGTACCTAGTAGCCAGAACGCACTTCTCAGCCTACTATGCAAGGCCCAATTTGCCTAATAAGCCAAGTTTTCATGAATTAATTGTTTTTCGACTACCTAACCTACCTAACCTAACCTAACCTAACTTTTTCGGCTTCCTAACCAAACCTAACCTATAAAGATAGGTTAGGTTAGGTTAGGTAGGGTTGGTTAGGTTCGGTCATATATCTACGTTAATTTTAACTCCAATAAAAAAAAATTGACCTCATACATAGAGAAAAGGGTTGCTTTATCATTTCATAAGAAAAAAATTATAGTAAATATATTAATTCAGGAAAACTTGGCTTATTAGGCAAATCGGGCCTTGAATAGTAGGCTGAGAAGTGAGTTCTGGCTACTAGGTACGACATATATATATATATATATATATATATGTCGTACCTAATAGCCAGAACGCACTTCTCAGCCTACTATTCAAGGCCCGATTTGCCTAATAAGCCAAGTTTTCATGAATTAATGTTTTTTCGTCTACCTAACCTACCTAACCTAACCTAACCTAGCTTTTTTTGGCTACCTAACCTAACCTTACCTATAAATATAGGTTAGGTTAGGTTAGGTAGGGTTGGTTAGGTTCGGGCACATATCTACGTTAATTTTAACTCCAATAAAAAAAAATTGACCTCATACATAGAGAAAATGGTTGCTTTATCATTTCATAAGAAAAAAATTATAGTAAATATATTAATTCAGGAAAACTTGGCTTATTAGGCAAATCGGGCCTTGAATAGTAGGCTGAGAAGTGAGTTCTGGCTACTAGGTACGACATATATATATATATATATATATATATATATATATATACATATATATATATATGTCGTACCTAGTAGCCAGAACGCACTTCTCAGCCTACTATGCAAGGCCCGATTTGCCTAATAAGCCAAGTTTTCATGAATTAATTGTTTTTCGACTACCTAACCTAACCTAACCTAACTTTTTCTGCTACCTAACCTAACCTAACCTATAAAGATAGGTTAGGTTAGGTTAGGTAGGGTTGGTTAGGTTCGGTCATATATCTACGTTAATTTTAACTCCAATAAAAAAAAATTGACCTCATACATAATGAAATGGGTAGCTTTATCATTTCATAAGAAAAAAAATTGAGAAAATATATTAATTCTGGAAAACTTGGCTTATTAGGCAAATCGGGCCTTGCATAGTAGGCTGAGAAGTGCGTTCTGGCTACTAGGTACGACATATATATATATATATATATATATATATATATATGTCGTACCTAATAGCCAGAACGCACTTCTCAGCCTACTATTCAAGGCCCGATTTGCCTAATAAGCCAAGTTTTCATGAATTAATGTTTTTTCGTCTACCTAACCTACCTAACCTAACCTAACCTAGCTTTTTTTGGCTACCTAACCTAACCTTACCTATAAATATAGGTTAGGTTAGGTTAGGTAGGGTTGGTTAGGTTCGGTCATATATCTACGTTAATTTTAACTCCAATAAAAAAAAATTGACCTCATACATAGAGAAAAGGATTGCTTTATCATTTCATAAGAAAAAAATTATAGTAAATATATTAATTCAGGAAAACTTGGCTTATTAGGCAAATCGGGCCTTGAATAGTAGGCTGAGAAGTGAGTTCTGGCTACTAGGTACGACATATATACATATATATATATATATATATATATATATATATATATATATATATATATATATATATATATATATATATATATATATATATATATATATATATATATATATATATATATATATATATATATATATATATATATATATATATATATATATATATATATATATATATATATATATATATATATATATATATATATATATATATATATATATATATATATATATATATGCGAACAAGCCTGAATGGTCCCCCAGGACTATATGCAAACTCACACCCCAGAAGTGACTCGAACCCATACTGCCAGGAGCAACGCAATTGGTGCGTACAGGACACCTTAATCCACTCGACCATCACGACCGGACAGAAGGAGGTGATGTGATATTTACATCACCTAAATTTGATATTTACCAGGAAGGAGGAAGAAATGTTTGACATTAAGGTTGATGCTATTGAAAAACCTGACTTTAGGAGAGGACATTATAGCAACCTTAGAAATTTGTTTAGTGAGTATAATTGGACAGACTTGTTGCTAGGCAAGGAAGTGAATGAGATGTATGTTAAGTTTTGTGAAAAATATGATAAAGGCACAAAAAAAAATTATAACAAAACAGAGATGCAGAACTAGGAAACAGGATTGGTTCAACAGAAATTGCGAGAGAGGCAGAGGCCAAAAGATACAAAAATGGAATCAATACAGGAAGAGGCCAAACCCCCAGACATATCAGCGATACAAAGATGCGAGAAACAACTACACGGCAGTGAGGAGAGGGGCAGAAAGAAATTTTGAAAAAGGGATTGCAGACAAATGTAAAACAAAACCAGGTCTATTCTATAAATTCATAAACAACAAATTGCAGGTAAAGGATAATATTCAGAGGTTGAAAATGGGAAATAGATTCACGGAAAATGAAAAGGAAATGTGTGAAACATTAAATGAAAAGTTTCAAAGTGTGTTTGTACAAAATGAAATCTTCAGGGAACCAGACACAATAAGAATTCCAGAGAACAACATAGAGCACAT